GAGGGCAGAGTAGGAAAGGAAGAGGGAGGGAGAACAAGTGATAGACCATATCGCTTTCCCTCCCCAGTGAATTAAGCCCAGTTCAGTCCCTTGATCCCATACTGTGTGCCAGCTATTAAACAAGGTGCTGAGAGTGCAAAGATGAACTAACCCAGAGCACGATGGGACGAACCTTGGATCTGGGAGCAGGGGACCCAAGATTATTTACCATGACCACTTGGGGATTGTGGTGGAAGACAGGGCGAAGGTAGGAAAATGAGGCCCCAGCAGCAAGATACAGCAGGCGTATGTCTAAAGTCTGGCATAAGCGGGAGAAGCATTGTGATATAGTAGAAAGCCAACTGGATGTGGAGTCCTGAGTCCCGGTGTTCAAATCCCAACACTACCACTTCCTGGTCATATGACCTGGGGTATGTCATTTCCCTCCCTCTCTTTATCTGCAAAGGGGGGGAGGGGTTAGATTAACTGATCTCTAGGGTCCTTTTCATCTCTGAATAGATGTTCCCCTGAGAGCCTGAATGCTCCAGGGGTACCTCAGAAAGGTGACCAGAGGAAGAGAGGAGTTAGGCTTAACCATAACCCTGAGGATATGGATAGAGTTGGTCAGGATGGGTTGAAATGTGCACCATCAGAGGAAATAAACACATCCAGGAAATCACAGATCATTCAGATATGCCAAGAAGACCTTGTTGCCAATTCCCAGTGTCCAGTTCCAAGAGGGCGCTGCTCTCTCCCACTTGAGATTTCCAAGTGAAGGCTGATGATTACCTGGAAGAGACATTGAAGAAATGGAGCTTCAGGTTGAGCGGGCGGCTGCTGAGGGTCCCTCAAGCTACAATTCAGAGACTAGGGCCCTAGATCTGATGAGAATTGAAAGGCATCCCCCAAAATATGTATTTCTTCCTCCTTAGCCTCTGAATTACCCCACTCCTTTGGGTTACAATCTTAAAATGCAGGTGCTGCTGGAAAAGACAGCCCAGCAGCCAGACTTGTCCCCTCATCCCTTCAACAGATATGTACTGAGTAGCTTTTTCCATGCTAAGGGCAATACAGAGCTGTGTCTAAGGGGTCCCGAGGGAGCTGAGAGTCTGAGTGGGACCAGAAGGCACACAGAGGAAACTAACTGAGAATATGGCCCAGGCCAGTAAAGAATGCCACAAGGTATGATGCAGCCACTGCCAGAGGGCGGCAGCAGCAGCAGCAGCAACACAAATTCCTAGAACACTGTAAGGTTTGCAAATAACTTTACAAACGTGATCTGATTGTATCCTCTTTTTTTTTTTTTTTTTGGCTAGGCAATGGGGTTAAGTGACTTGCCCAGGGTCACACAGCTGGTAAGTGTTATGTGTCTGAGGCCAGATTTGAACTCAGGTCCTCCTGACTGTAGGCCCGGTGCTCTATCCACTGCGCCACCTAGCTGCCCCTTATTGTATCCTCTTAACCACACTGGGGAGTAGGTGCAATTAGGAACCCCCATTTTACAGTTAAGGAAACTGAGGCAAGCAGAAGTTAAGTAGCTTACAGGGTCATCCAACTAGTAAGTATCTGAGGTCTGTTTTGAGCTCAGATCTCCTTGGCTGTAGCTGCAGCATTCTGGGCCCTGTGGTGCCGCCTCATTGGCCCTGGGCTAGGGCCATAGTTCAAGTAAGAGGCAGTAAAGCCCTAGACTAGGGTGGAGGCAGTGAGAATGGAAAAGAAGGCATGGGGTAGGGGTAAGCAGCATTGCCAAGTGGACTCTAAGACTCTGGAGGGATTGAGGATTTAGTCAGCATGGTAGGCCAAAGTGAGGGGGCAGGGAAGGGCAGGGAGAAGAAAGAAGACCAAGGATGTACTGAAGCTCTGAGCCTGAGGAGGATGAGGTCAGGAGGTCAGGAGGTCAGGAAAGGGGCTGACTTGGCTGGAAAGAGAAGTCCAACAAGCCCTGCATTGGGGCCACGATGGAGGGGAGGAGATGGGGGCTTTAACAGAGAAGCTTGGTTGTGAGAGGAAGTGAGAGTGGAGGCTGATTTTTTTTAAGAGCAGAGAGGCATGGCCCAGTGGGACAGCAAGGCCTAAAGATGCTGAATTGGGCAGGGATGAATAAGGGAGCAGGGAGGGGGCCTGGAAGAGATAGGATGGGATGGGGTCAGAGCGAAGACACAGATGGAGTCTTAGAAGGGTACAGGGCTCCCCTCCCCCCTTTAGACTTGGAGAAGAGGATGAGTGCAGACGCTGAGCTCCCAGGATGTGAAGAGCAGCAGAGCTGAGGGAAGCCAGGCCAGATGGCCTCGATCTTCTTAAGGAAGGGGAAAGCAATGTCATCTGTCAAGAGGGAGAGCAAGTGGGCCATGGGCCTCAGGCTTGAGGAAAGCAGAAGAGATTCAGCAGAGCCCCTATGGGAAGGTGGCTAGGGACTCCCCGAGGACAGAAGAGTCCTGCCAAACAGCAGTGAACAAGGAACCTTGGGAATTAATCCAAACCCCTCTCATTTTACGGATGGAGCAAGGAAGGCCCAGAGAGGGAAAGTACCTTGCCTGAAGATACACAGCTAATTCGTAGTGGGCCCAGGCCTCAAACTTAGATATCCTGGCTTATTACTCTGAAACCAGCACCATACCCAGCCATAGTCCAGGGAAGCAACTCATGTAAAGACAGGACTTGGCAACTGGCCTACCTACGCTGAGCCCTGGCCAACAAAGAGTTCTCACCACCAAAGGCCTTGGCACCAGCACTTGGCTATGTCAGTGGAAATGACCCACAAGAAGATACACTCGAAGAACCGTTACCCCCCAGGTCCTATCTCCCCCTACAAGAACCAGAGCTCCTCATGGTCCATCATCTGGCTTTTCTCTTGTTCTCAGCCTTGAGCTCAGCACAGAGCTTGACTTATAAGAAGTACTTAATCAATGCTCTTTCATTCATTCATTCAGTCAGTCAGTCAGTTAGTCAGTCAGTCATATACCATGGGCCATGGATTCAGGCCACATGGGTCTGCTGCTTGGGGATCAGAAGGCCAAGGGGATGGAGGAACGTAGGGTGCCAAGACAGCATTGAAGATGTCCAGGGGAGCCAACCAAAAGCAAGTGGACTGGCAGAATGACAGGAGGGCCGGGAGCTTTGGGGGAGTCAGGGAGGCTGAAGATAACGAAGTTTTTTCTAAATTTCTGAGGTAAGGCCAAGCTCCAGGCTCTGGCTCTGGTGGTCTCTGGAGTTGAGACAAAAAGTCACAAGCAGAAGAGATCCCAGGCCCAGCACCAGACATCTGAAACCAAGGAAGGGAGCAGCGAGGGGATTGTTGCTACCTGAGGAAAGGGTGGCTACCCCATGGCTGTAGCACATTAAGGCTCCTGAAGCACCTTTCCCAGAACAACCCAGCCAGGGAGGTAGAGTGCAAGGATTATTATCCCCATTTTACAGAGGAGGAAATAGAGGCTTGGAGAGAGGAAGTGACTTGCCCAGGGTCACACTGATAAGTGTCAGGGCTGGTACTCAAACCCAAGTCTCCTGATTCCAGGATTGGCCCCTTTCCCAGTGCATCTCACTGACACTAGGGGATGGGAGAGCACTGAAGACAGCCAGCCAGCCGTTTTCACTATTTCTTCTTCAGCCGGGCCCTCTCTCCTCAAAGGAAGCCCAGGCTGCCATCATATGAGGCCTAGAGGCCACGGGATCCGGACATAGTCAGGATTCAAAGGTGGGCATACCTACTGCTTCTGGTGCTCTGTGCTTCCCTGGGCTCCCTCTTCTCTAAGGGCCACAGGCCAGGGATGAGGCATCTAGCAGTGACTGACTCAATGTTGATCCTGCGCAAGAGCCCACAGGCCCCTGGACTTGGACTTGTACCCCTCCTAAACTATATTCATTCTCTCTCTGTCTCTCTCTGTTTCTCTCTCTTCTCTCTCCCCTCTCTCCCCTTTCCCCTCTCCCCTCTCTTCCCTCTCTCCTCTCTCCTCTCTCCTCTCTCCTCTCCCCTCTCCCCTCTCTCCCCTCTCTCCCCTCTCTCCCCTCTCTCTCTCTCTCTCTCTCTCTCTCTCTCTCTCTCTCTCTCTCTCTCTCTCTCTCTCTCTCTCTCTCTCTCTCTCTCTCTCTCACCCTCTCTCTCCTGTGATCCAGGACAAGAGCTAAATGAACCACAAAAGATAAGCCCATAAAGGGTCCCTATGGCTCGCACGTTCTCAGGCTCACTCCATCTGTCTCTGACCCAACCAGCCTTTAATTAAGTCTGTGAGTTGGGCAAATACTCTATCTGCAAACAGCAATAAAGGAGAGGGGCCCACTTGGTAGCAGGCTCAGTTCCAAAGGCCACTGGCAGCCTGGCCTGGCTGTTTGGGTGACCCCCGTGGCCCCACCCCACTCCCAGGGCCCCACTGCTCCCGGTAAGCTGCTGACAAGCTGACCTTAAGTATTCTAGCTGCTGGAGAATGCTCAGGCATACCACAGCCTGGGGATTATGCCTTATCCCAGTGGCCTAGAGACACCTGGGTACCTCCCCCTTCTCCTTCTGTCTGTCAGTATGACATGAATCAGGCCAGCCTGGAATCACTAGAGGTCCTTGGCACCCCTGGTCTGACACCCAGGAAAATTCATTCCATTCCATCCACATATGGACAGGAATAGTTCAGTGTTAAAAGCAGCATCAGAAAGAAACAGGTTCCTTGGATCACAGGAGCCAGAAAGGCCTTAGAGATGATCTTCATCATTCCACAGATGAGGAAACTGAGGTCTGCATACAGGTGGCAAATAGCAGAGTGGGGCTTGCTGGCTCCAAATCCGAGCAGCTCTATGTCCCAGGTGATGAGCAGGGGCTTGGCTAGGTCAGGTTGCCATTAGCAGAGCCCCAGCCGGAGATGGAGCAGGAAAGGACTTGGGGCCAGGGCCCTTTCCTTCACACTTCTAAGGCCAGATCCTTGCTTGGTAATCTCATCAGACACCATGAGGGCCAATGGCCCCTTTGCCCCCCCCCCAACATTCCAGTCCCTCTGCCTTGAGGATGACGTGCAGCCGTTCTATGGGGCTGGCCCCTACCTGCAGCTGCTCTCCTCTGACCGGGATACAAGTGCCAGGGAGGAGACCATATGGGCCTGGTTCGGCCTTTTGCGACAGAGTTGCCACAGCTGCCGCTGATACTTGTCCCCTGTGAGGAGGTAGAGCACAGGATCCGGGCAGCTGTTGGCACTGGCCAGAGGGCGGGTCACCTTGTAGGTAATATTGATGATGCCCAGCGTCTGACAATTCACCTCCAAGAGGCAGGCCAGGTAGTAGATGGTGCGGGTGATATGGAAGGGTACAAAGCAGATGGCAAAGACAGTCAAGACCACGGCAAGGGAGCAGAGGCAGGCGGAGGATTGGGCAGCACCTGGCAGGGGCCAGCACAGACGCCGGGCCATGAGGCCACAGCACACCAGGGTAACCAGAAAGGGGAGTCCAAGGAGCAGAACCCTAACTATGGAACTGAAATAGACATAGCAGTCGAAGTCCTCAGGCTTCATGGTGTCATCATGACACAGGGCGGTGGTCCCTCGAGTGCTGGTGGTGACAAAGAGGTTGGGCACGAGGCAAGCAGCCACGGCCAACTTGATGGCCAGGCAGATGAGGCTAGCGACATGTGGGTGGCCCCAGCGCGGGGCCCGCAGAGGGGGGCAGATGCCCAGGTAGCGATGCACGCTGATACAGGTCAGAAACGGGATGCTGCTATACAAGTTCCAATAGAAGAGGAAACGGATGAACTTACAGAGACCAGTCCCAAATGGCCAATCATTGCGGGCTGCGTAGTAATAGATGAGGGTTGGCAGTGAAAGCACGTAGAGAGTGTCGGACAGTGCCAGGTGGAACATGTAGGTGGCTGTGGCATCCCAGGGGTAAAGACGGAAGAGAAAGAGGAAGAGGGTGGGGGACATCGAGGCCCAGGCCCAACACGAAGACCACAGCATAGCTCACCAGGAGCAGAATGAACTTCAATTCTTCATCAAACCAGCACTCCACCTCCATGTCACCACTGCCGGGGCCAGGGGTGGGGGATGGACCAGGGGACAGGCCAGGAGACGAGCCAGGGAATGAGCCAGGGGATGGGCCAGGGGACGGGACAGGGGATGGGCCAGGGGATGGGCCAGGGGAGGCAGGGGACAGGGGACCGGGATGGGCCAGGGGATGGGCCAGGGGACGGGCCAGGGGACGGCAGGGGACGGGACAGGGGATGGGCCAGGGGACGGGCCAGGGGAGCTGAGCACCAAGGTGTCAATGCTGCCCATGGTCTGGAGAAATAAGGGGCACCTCAAAGGAGGGCACAGCAGGCACAGGGGGGGATCGGGGACTAAGGAATGCCCTGCTGATTTCACAAACTTCAGGAAACAGGGAGGTAAGAGGGCAGGGGAAATCAACTCGGCTTGCCCAGAAAGGTGGGGTAGGGTGTGCCAGATAGTCGGTGGCCTGCAATGGCCTCTGCCCTTCAAAGTGGGTAAAGACAGGCAGATCGGAGCCAGGGATTCCTGACTCCCTGCCCAGAGAGGAGAGGGTGAGGCCGAGGTCACCACTCCTGTCTCAGTAATTCCTATCTCCTTCCCTGTCCCAGGTAGGCTAGTGCCTGTCTGAGGAGATCTCGGCCTTCCTTGCAGCCCCGCAGCCTGTCTGTAATCACAATGGTAGAGAAAAGGGTGGGGGGCTTAGCTAGGGAGACCTAGGCTCACCCCTAGCCAAGGGCTTTGGCACTGCTCCTACCTGGTCCCCTGGAGCTGAGTTCAGGTGCCTCTGTGCCAGAGGGCATATCTAGAGGGTGGGGCAGAGGGCTGAGGCCTGTTCCTCCTCCCATGCCATCCCATCCCAGAAGCTCATAGGCTCACAGGATCTGAGGATCCCAGCTGGAAGGCACCTCACACAGCATCTAGTGCCACCGCCTTACACAGAGGAGGAAACTCTGGGTCTGGGGAGGCTGGGTGATTCACCCAAAGTCACACAGATGACACGGGGCCTGTCTGACTTCTCTTGGGGCCGCAGGCCTTGAAGCAGGTCTCTGCACAATAGCCTGATCTGGAATCAGGGAAGGGGGGGAGAACCCCCTCTTGGTCAGCCCTGTGCCCCCTGGCCTAGATTCGCTGGGAAACTGGGACTCCAAGGATAGGGGTGGGGGGATGAGGGGAGGGTGAGCCTTTGGGATTTGGGAAAGGAAGGGAAGTTGAGGAAGCCTGAGCTGGGGCCTCAGCCCCCAGGAATACTTTCCTGACAACTGCATAACTGGTTCCTGGAGGTAAGAGGAAGGGGAGGCCTTCAAGCTGAGCCAGGGCTAGAGCTCATGGGGCATCAGAGAGACCCACAAACAGCTTGTGGAGATGGGGGGGCTCTCAATCCCCTCAGAAGGCAGGAAGTCTGGCCCAAGGAAGCCCTGCTATTTCACACTTGGTGAAGTCCCAGAAATCTCTCTAGCCCTGGGCTTCCATGGCTGAGAGATGAGGCTTGCTGAGCCTTTCACTGCCAACACACTCAAACACACACGCGCGCACGCATGCACACATGCACACACATGCACACACACATGCATGCACACACATGCATGCACACACACATGCACACACTTCCTCAGTCAAACATACACATTCACATATACACTCATACACATAAACTTACACAGACTCATATAAACACATACTCATTGACATATATTCACACAAATACACATACTTCACACACAAACACAGTAACATTCATACTCACATACACTAACATATACACACACCCAGTCACACAATCATGTACTCACATACACTCATGTAATACATATGATGGCACACATACGAACACACTCATGTACATTTATACATTCATACACACATACACATACTTATACATGCAGTCACATTCCTACATAAACACACACTCACACCCTGACATACACACATAAGCACACGCTGAAATAGTCCCCCCCCACATCACACTCAGTCACAGGAGCACACTGATAGACACACACTGACATGCACACACACACACTCATGTAGTTACGTACACCATCATACTCATGCACACACTCACACTGATGCACACATGCATGCACGCACACATTCATCCACATAGAACGAAGGCCAAGTTCCTAGTGTGACCCAGCTCCCCCAGCTCAGCTCACTCTCCGCTCCCTAGAGGCGGCTACTGCTGCCATCTAGTGGAACCTCCTCTCTCTGCATCCTTTTCTCTCTGACCACATTCCCTTCCCAAACTCCCTATGCTACAGTAATAATTCTTGTGTTGTGAGGCCCTTCACATGTGGCATGGAGAGTGTAGTGTATGGCATGAAGGAAGACAGGCTAGACATCTTGAGCCTCTTCTCCCCCCATTCCCAGCTTCTCCAAGAGAGACATTGATTCCTGCTATTGGCCACTCCTCTCTCCCCAGAGAGAAGGCAAGTGGAATAGAATTAGATCCGTTTGCTCCTTTGAGTATTGTTCATCTAGACAATGTGATTCTCAGGTCCAAACTAACTTCTGATCACTGTTTCATTAATGGGGGAACAGGACCTCAAGCTCTGTATCCCAGATTTGATCCCTTTCCCACCAAATACCAATTCTACAATGAACACACATAGTAGGTAGTCAAGAAACTCATTTATTTGATTTGAATGGCAAAAACAGAGATCAGAGATGGTATACATGGGAGAAGGTACACCAGACAATGTAGAGTAAAGAAGCTCTCCCATTGGGAGCAAGGCAACACAGCTCAACCAAAGGAGAGTCTCAGATCTCATCCAAGGAGAAACTCCCCAAAGTCTCTAGTGTAGCAAGCTGGGGGTAGGGACATGATAGAAGCTGCCAGCTCCTCTCATGTCAACTTCTTCCCAGAGGCTTTTCCTTCAGTAATGGGAAGTAGGGTGGACCGTGTCCATCCTCTCTCTCCAAGATGGAAGCCAGAAGTGCCGGAGGCCACTGAAGAGGCTTAAAGAGATTCTCACCAAGCCTGCATTGCCTTTTGTGCAGACACAGAATGCTGATCTCTACCAATGAGGAGAGAGTCCCATGCTAATAGGCTTGGGGATTCAGGTTACATGTGTTTATTAGCGTCTTATGGTTGACAAAGCGTTTTCCTTACAACAATTCTGTGAGGGAAACTGTGTAAGTACATTTTGCAGATGAGAGAACTGAGGAACAGGGAGACAGAGCACCTTGGCCCAGCTAGTAAGTGTCCAGCTTTCACCCGACTCTCACCTGTGGCTCCCAAGAAGCTGTAGAGTGTGCAGTGGCAAGACCCTGGTGAAACCATCTCTGCAGACAGACTAAAGCAGTTGAGGGTAACAGACAAGCTTCAAACCCAATGATGAGTTGGAGGGGGCGGGGCGGGGTCTACCCCCAGCATGTGAAAACTTCCATTGGCAGAATGGGAGGATGCGAACAATTTGTTCCACTGGCCACGAAGGCGGCTGAAGCAGGGGCTGTGGAGGGCTTAGAGCTTGGGCAGACGTGGAAGAAGCCAAGGTCATCCCCTGAATCCTGGGCCATCTCCAGTCAGCCTGACTTTTGTCTCATCACTGGACTTCAATGATTCTAGAAGAGAGAATGAGGCTGATGACTTTGTGCAGCCCTGCCTCACTTCAATCCAAGTCACTCACAAGTCAAGACGTCACCCCCTCACGTCATTGGTCCTCTTTGGAAATGAAGGGACAACAGGTGTCAGAGCACTTCTCTATAAATGTATGAATAAGTCCTTATCAGTGAGAGAGGATAACAGGGCTTTGTCCATTGGGTGGAGGTGGGTGATGAGACACAAGAAATATCTTACAATTGGCTGAGACAAACAATCACAGCCCTCAGGTCTATGTATGGAGCCCAGTGCTGGAGTACTCCAGGTTTGGGACTTGAGAATTACAGTTGGATGGTTGGAGTTGAGAGTTACCCCTTTCCACACATGTTCTCTACATATGGCCCCACTGCCACCATACTCTAAGTACCCTCTTCCCATGGACCCTGTATTTGGGGGTGAACACACCCCAGTCTTTCAAGGGAATGTTTTTGTAACTGCTCTTCCTGGTATACCTTCTGAGCAAATACCTTTGCTCAAAGCTAATTATCTGGCAGCACAAGAGGAGGTGCTCCTAGAACCTGAGGGTAGCAGCTGCCCTCTGGGGATCCCAGCATACTATTCCAAGTTTGGAGGAGTACTCCAGAAGGGAGTGACAAATGAAATTTCAAAGATATAAAGAGAAACATTCTGATGATGGAAAAGGGACACGTGTCTAGAGGGGGGTAATCTTAAACGTGGGGAACTCATTAAAAAGACCTGCAGAGGAAGGAAGCAAGGGGAGCTAACAGCCAATGAAACAGAAAGCAGGCGCGTCATGGAAGATGAGTGCCAAGACAAAAAGCCAGGTCTTTCTCCTGATGAGTACTGGGGATGGAGGTAACCACAGAGATGACAGAGCATTCAATTCCATTCTGCTCCACACTTTGCATGAAGCAAGTCAGAGCAGCAAGGCTTTCAATGAGGATAAAGCTTTGTGGCCAATATCTCTGCCACAGTGTTCACTTCCAAGCCCAAAAGCCACTTTAGCAGCCACAAGAAAGAACGCTCCAGATCACTAATAAGAAGAGAAACACACATCAGAACAGCCCTAAGGTTTCACTTCACACCCAGCACGTTAACAAGAATGGGAAGAGATCGAAGGAGCCAATGGTGCAGCAGCTGCAGAAAGACAAGCCAGCCCCTGACGCATTTTTGTTGGAACTGCGCATTGGTCCAACCATCTTAGAAATCAGTTGGGAATTATGCTTTGCTTAAAAGTGATTAAAATGTTCCTATCATTTGATGTTGTTTGTCCTTTGTTTTCGAAGAGGACCAATGACGTGAGGGGGTGACGTCTTAACTTGTGAGTGACTTGGATTGAAGTGAGGCAGGGCTGCACAAAGTCATCAGCCTCACTCTCTCTTCTAGAATCATTGAAGTCCAGTGATGAGACAAAAGTCAGGCTGACTGGAGATGGCCCAGGATTCAGGGGATGACCTTGGCTTCTTCCACGTCTGCCCAAGCTCTAAGCCCTCCACAGCCCCTGCTTCAGCCGCCTTCGTGGCCGGTGGAACAAATTGTTCTCATCCTCCCATTCTGCCAATGGAAGTTTTTCACATGCTGGGGGTAGACTCCGCCCCGCCCCCTCCAACTCACCATTGGGTTTGAAGCTTGTCTGTTACCCTCAACTGCTTTAGTCTGTCTGCAGAGATGGTTTCACTAGGGTATTGCCACTGCACACTCTACAGCTTCTTGGGAGCCACAGGTGACAGTT